TTAAAATCAGTAGGAGAGGATGAATTATTCATTTCCAACCAGCTGCAATCAGGCTCAGAGATCCCTATCCGGAGGAGCTCAAAGCAGTCACGATATTGAGTCAGGAAAAAGAGAGAGCTTTGAAAGAACATCACTGGGAGTCAAATCCCTGGAGATGCTCCTGATGTCCTCTCCTAAAAACTCCCCCAGCCACCCTGCTAACAGTGGCCGTTTGGTTTTTTTTTTTCAGTAGGACATGTTTAGGACACGTAGGACGTGTTTAAGCAAGCCAAGCTGAATTGCACAATAAAAGATTTACGCTCTAAACCATGAACATCTGACCCCAAAAGAGAGTTTTTCGGAAGCATGGGAGAGGAAGTGTTGAAAACCAGAATTAAGATATCTGGAGAGTCCCTCGTGCCCCAGCTCAGGTCCCCTTGTGAAACACCTCCTGTTTATTTGGCTGTCACCAGTGGGCAGGATTTTGAAGCTTTTGGGATTTTCATCATATTTTGTGTGTAGAAAATTCTCCAGGAGAGAAGCCCTTGGTTTAATTTGCTCTGTAATAGCATCGTGGCTGTTGGAAGGCAGAGACCAGCAGCCCTTTCCTGCTTCCTGCACGCTTTTTTGGGATGCTGTGCCTGGATCCAGCAGCCGCTAGGTGCCAGTGCTGTTTTACACGAGAACAAACTCGAGCCAAAGCCTAGAAAAAGAATTTTTCAGGAATTTGGGCACCTCGCCAGCTTTTAAATATAGCACTCACTACTCCTCACAGTTGCTCGTCCCTCTCCCGGGCTGCTGGACGTGGAACCATTTGTGCCCTGCTACGTGCTCGGGAGAAGGGCAGAATTCCACCTTTGTTTTATTTTCGTTGGCATGGGATATAAACTGCCACGAACTCGGGAAACTCGTGTCCGCAGGCTGAGCTCCTGTGCACGGCTGGAGCGCGCCGCAGCCTCCCTCCGGCACATCCCGTCCCTTCCCAATTTACCGGCAGGATCAGGAGATGCTAATTTGGGATCTGACCGCAGGCGCTGGGGGAGAGGGGAGAATCCTCTGCTGTCTCGGGGCTTCGGTGCAGGATTTGGGATTTGTTGGATCCTGTGGTTGTCCGGGGCTTTTTCCAGCATCCCACAGGAGGTATTTGTGTGCAGCCTACCTGCAGCTCTCTGGTTTTTAACATCTCCACAACCACGGTCGGATATACACGAGGTGGGGCTGGGGACAAAGGAATGTCACTCTTCCAATGTTTATTCCTTAAGCAATCCCAAATAAATCTGGGATCCTCTGGATAGCTGGAGCCAGGCCATGACGAGTCTCTGAGCATGGAGAGGAGTTTGAGGTGTCCAGGGAGAGAGCAGCCCACCCCAAGCATCCCCAAAGGACAGGGGCTGTCTAAGCCCTGCCCCAGCACTTAAAAAAGGACATCTGAGAGCTGGAATTCTATCCAAGAATGAGATTTTGGGGGATACAACAAAGAAGAAGAAAGGAACATCCCTCCCATCAGAGAGCAAGGAGTAGCACTAGGCCAGGCTGACCCCCCAGCCAGTGACCAGCAGGGACTGGTGACCCGTCCCTGAGATGTCACCTTCAAAGCTCATTCGGTTTGGGTTTTTTTTCCCCATAAAGGGGAAATCCAGGTAGGTGTGTGATGGAGAGATGAGATGAGATGAGATGAGATGAGATGAGATGAGATGAGATAGTCCACGGCAGATTTAGCTGGGAAAAGGGAGCCATGCAAGCTCCAAGGTGAAGCAGATCTCTTTGAAAGTCACATTGTCCCCTGGACTGAGGGGGTTTCAGTGGGACATGAGAGTTTCCCTGTCGGATGTTCCAGGGTCTGGCCAGCTCCAAACACAGAGTTGTGTCACCCTCAGAGGTGTTTTATTCTCACTCTGCACCTCAGATGAGAGGCCCTGTGCTGTACAGACCTCCAGGAAAGCGGTGGCTGGAAGAAGGGAGATGGAAAATGCAGTTTTTGTACCCCTTGCCTTGCCAGCAGCCAAAGATGAGGCCATTTGCTGATTTTTCTGGGCATTGATCTCATCACTTAAACCTCAGACTGGTCTTAGACTTGTTGGTGGAGGATGGATATGGTTTTTGGCTTTGTCCTGCTCTCCACTGGGAACCCACATCTTTACAAATGGGAAATAATGTTTTCTTTAAGTTGGGTTGTGGGTTTGAGATTCCCTAGAAAATCATCCTTGCCCTCCAGAACTGACCAGCCAGCTGCTGCTGAGCAAAGAGGGAATCTCAGTTGTGCCAGGGGGAAAAATTACAGCACAACAGCAAATTCTCCACTGCCCTGATTTCAGTGGAAATGAAAGCAGGACATTGGGAAAAGCTAATGAGGGAAAATAATAGAGCTGGCAGAGCTGCTGGAGCCTGGAATACAGATGACCTCTTTGGAAGAACAATGTCAAGCTATTTTGGCAAAATCTCTTTAGGGGTGGCAGGGAGGCCTTGGCTTGTGTTATCAGTAGCAAGGTACCAGAGCTTCCCCCATTTCTTGGGCTCAGGATCTCTCTGGAAAGGTGCAAACCCAAAACTCCTCATCCCAGGAATTGCTGTTTCTCTGTCATTAAACTGTGATGGTCTTCCAAGGAGCAGGGGCTCATCTTAAAAAAGATTTACCTATCAGTGACCTGACAACAGGCTCTTCTTCAGGTGGAGCCAATCCCTCACAGTCCTAAAGCATGGATCTCCCCATTTACCCCTTATTTCTGCATGGTGTTGTCTCACTGTCGATACAGCACCCCAAAAATCTCCACAGGGATCAGGTAAGGAACAATTACCACTGTAATAAATTCACAGCAAACCCAATTCCTGTAGCACTCACAGGTAAATACTTACTGACCAAAGAGGTGCCAAGACAGGCCAAGAACCCCTTGATTTTTCACTTTTTTTTTCACAAAACTGCTGACTTTCTGCTCTGTGTGCTGGGTGAGGGTCACCAAAGTGCACGTGGAAAACCCTCCTGAACCCTCCTGTGATCCTGCCAGTGTGACCTGGGATCGATCCCTCCAGAGCAAAGTGTGCTCCTGTTTACCGAAGAGGTATAAAAGGACTGACGCTTGTGTTTAAAAAGTTTTAATGATATTTCAAAGTCCAGTAAATGTCCTCGGATTACTCTAAAATCACAGAGTTGCTTCACAGAATTTAGTCCTGGTTCTAATTTGTAATGGATGATTAAGATGCCATTTTCCCCTTCATTCCCTTTAAACATACATGATTGTCCTCCAGTAAATGGAAATTGTGATTTTTCACTACACTTCACAGTGTTAAAACTCTATACAAACCTTGTACTACTCGTACAAAAATAAGTGCTTCATGCACACATTTTTAATACTGCTTCTTGCCCTTTGCTTTGACATCTTTCTGAACTTATATAAATAGCTGAAAAAGCAGACTGAACATGGAAAGTGAGAAACACTTCCTGCCAACGGTTTGAGAGACTCTCCTGGCTATGTTCCTCGTTGGCAAACACCACTTAAAGACAGACACAGAAGAGAAAAAAAAAGCCACGAAATCCGTAACACTCTTGGTTATTTGGCCCTCTGTGACCAGGTTTGTCCTTGGCTGCGAAGCCAAACGTGGCCAGCAGCAGCCACAGAGGGCTTGTAATACCTTTAGGGTCACCCTAACGAGCTACTTTATAAATAGGAGGGGTCTAACAGGACCTCAGACTGTGCAGCTCATGGGGTTTGTTCCATTCTGGGGGAAACTGAGTCAGAAGAGGAAAGCAACACTTGGCTCCTGCAGTCACCACCTTGTCACAGACCCTTGTGCTTGGCACAGCTTGGGGGATGCACAGGAAAAGCTCCCCTTGGAATGGCTTCTGCTCTGGGGGATGCACAGCAAAAGCTCCCCTTGGAATGGCTTCTGCTCTGCCACATTACAGCATCTGAAACAGGTGAAAAATCTGGGGCCAGATCTGCTGGGTGTTCATCAACCCAGTCGTAAATTCTTACTCCCAAAAGGGTTTTTTTTGGTCCTGGACTGAATTAATTCAAGTTTTCTTAGTGTGCATCACTGTGCAGGATTTATGATACAGGATTAATGTGTTTGCTGTAGTTATCCAGCACTGGATTCCCTCCCGTATCTCCATAGCATCACTACTCCTGCCTCGATCCCATGGCAAAAATCAATGGATAATGCCCCTGCTGTGCACCAAAGGATGCTCCCAGCATCCCCAAAGGATTCACACACAGCACCAGCTCTGGTGCTCTCCAAAATTAGAGGTGCCTTTATTGTTGGCATGAACCCTCTTCCAATAAATTAATTTGTGCTGGAATCAGAGCAGGCAGCAGCCTTGATACAATGTGTAAAGGCAGGCAGGGCTCTTTCCAACCTGGGAAAATGTTCTTTGGATATAATTTTATTCCTGTCGAGGTGTCTGCTATTACTAGGCCATGGCTGTGAGCTCTCATGCTCTAATTAAGTCGAGAATTGGCCTTAATGAATAGCACTTTTCTGCTCCTCAGGCTTAAAAGTTTCCCTGTTTTTCAGTGAATGTGCCATTCTATGGGAAGCACACAAAAATTTTTGGATCTGGCTGGGAGGGAGCAAAGCAAGAGGGAAAACTCTGCTGAATTCTTGTGCCCTGCTTTAAAAATAAAATTAGCATGGAAACCTGTTAAAATTAGCCTCTTGGGCTGGGCAAAAATGTGTAGGAAAAATGACTTTTTGCCTTGGCTAAGAAGAATTTCGAAGAGCCTTGAGATGCCCTGTGCTGGTGGCACAGGGGGATCCGGGTCAGGGAGAGGCAAATCCACGTGGCCAAGGGGAACCTCTGCTCTGCTTGGCCTGGGAAACTTCGGGGTGGATGCAGGAGAATTCCTGGTGCACGGAGGGGTTTGCTGGGCAATCTCATCCTTTTCCAGTCCCTGTCACAATAGCCACGGGACCAACTGTTTTCAGCACAGGTTGTTGCTTGTAAACACACACACAATAGGTGTATAAATATATATACATATAAAAATATAGATATACACCTGAGAACCTCTCATTTCCTGGGCTGAGCTTTTGCTTTCTAGTGTGAAAATCCGATTTTTCACTATTTTTAAAAATTCCTCCTTTCCTCCCCCCCCTTAACATCCGGATACAAAACTAAAGACCTACAAGACTGAAACTCCAACTAAAATGAACCTTGGGCCACAGATTAGCTTGAAATCATGAGGGTGTTGAATTACCAGACTGAGATTGTTTTTCTTTTCCTTTCTGCCTGTGCTGGGTTGGAGGGAATTGGGTTAAAAGGCTCCGTAGCCGTCGCTCCGTGCGGCGACAGCGAAGGCAGGATAGGCTTCGTAGGTGGCATACGTGGCCAAATCTTGTCCCATTGTCACTGCTTGCTTCAGCTGAGTGGCTGTGACAGTGGCAGCTGCGTTAGCAATGGTGTACCCTGAAGGAGGAAAAGAAGGAAAGCCCCTGGATTAATGAAAACCCATTCAAAACTCACCATTGCCCGGTAGGTTTTGATGGGACGACTTTCAGCGGGGAACGACTTGGGCAGCAGTGAATAATGGGAATAATGTTAGTGGGAATAATTGTTAGTGGGAATAATGTAAATATATTCCTAGGAAAATGAAAGCATTTCCTCACCCATGATTTGCTAAGCACAGTGCTGGAAAAATACCCCTCTCTGTTGAATATTTTTTTCCCAGGTTTTGATTATTTCTGAGCTAATGGTGCTCTGGACAACTCCCTCCCATATGGCATGAGGAGGGCAAGGAAACAACCTAAAATAGGGGAAATTTGGGCAGGATTCTTGGAGAAAATACAGCTCTGATTCCTTCATAGCCAAAATACAGACAGTTCAGGACAGCCATGGTAGGGAAACTCCCTCAATGCAACAGCAGGGAGAAAATATTTAGGAGATGGGATTTTTTTTGTTTTTTTTCCATTGGTTTCTAATGGAAAATGTGGTTTCAACACTTCCAAATTTTCCATGGGAAGATGTAAGCATTGTTATTTGAGAATGAATCACTGGGAAAACAACATCATTTGGGGCTGGCTCCTCTGAAGGCAAGGCATAGGCAGCTTGTCAACCAGACCACAGTATTTTGTTGTAAAAGAATCAGGAGTTAAGACAAGTCTAAATTTGGGAAGAGCAGCTGGGGAATCCATCCGATCTGCTGGACCAGCTGTGCTGCCAACATACATCTCCCAGGATCCTGTCAGACCAGGTGGGCAATGGGATCAACTCAAGGTCAGCCAGAATCAAGGTGCTCTTGGTGGGGGAATGGGAATATTGGGCAACAGGAAGCACTCACTGGAGGTGTCACTTTGGGGAAAAACATGAGGAATTCCTTACAGTTTGAATATTGTGGCTCTCCAGAATATTTTCTCTGCACCAGCAAAGCCAGGTGCAACATCTCAAGCAGGGATTGAGAAATCTGGGACTTAAGGAACATCTGCTGCCCTTGGGAGAGAAATGAGCTGCGAGCTGGGCATGGCCTGAGCTGAGCATTAGCAAGCCCTGTTCCAGGACCGGTGTGCGCTGCAAGCAGCAACTTCAGTCCATGTCCATTTGCCAAGCTCCCGAGACAAATAAATAAGGGTGGATGAAAGAAAAGGAGAGATGCTAATTAAGCAGTAAGTGGGGGCTGGATTCAATAAAGAGCCCATTTGGTTTCCACGCTGCGGAAGCTGCACAAGCCCAGACAAATTGATTTTTCTGTGGCTTTTGCGGACTCCTGTGGCAGGAAGCCGGATAGATGTTTTTGTTTTTTCTTTTTCTTTTTTTTTTTTTTAATCCATCCTTGAGATACTCCAAACAACTCAGTAGTACTGACTAATGCATTCCTCATGTGCAGCTTGGCATGTGGTGCTGCTTCTCCATCAGAACTACCGTCATGCTGGAGAGCACAGCAAATGTAATTCCTGTGTTTTCCATAATTTCCCAGGCTGTTTTGGGCAGCTGCAAGAGCTATTGAGTACGAATTCTCAAACTGGGACAAAAAGCTTCCATGGGGGTGTGAGAGCTGGGATCGGATCCAAACTCTGATGGTTGCATCATTTCTTTGGCAAATGAAATCCTGAGTGTTGGTTCACAAGGAGCTGGGGGCTCTGAATTCATCAGCCATGTGTCCTTGCAGGGAGGATGGTCTCCTCCATCCTGGTGACATCAGGGCCAGGGAGGGGGCTCATCCCAGATGTGGCACCAGGGACGCCAGCTTTGCATCCTGCTTCATCTCTTGGGCTCCCAACTGAAGGAGGCATTCACAAACTGGGAGGAGTGGAGGGGATGTGTGGATGTTGGGATTCTCTGCCCTTGGTCACTGCTCCAAGTCCCCTGGACATGGTCCCAGCTGTGGCATTGATGTGAGCAGTCTGGGTTGGAGCAGAGCCCCCCACCCCAGTGCCCCCAGCCTGAGTTGCTCTGGGGTATGGACACAGAAATTTGGGCAGTCCTGGGATAGAGATAAAATCGTTTATAGGCATTAAACTGGCACAGGGTGCCCAGAGCAGCTGTGGCTGCCCCTGGATCCCTGGAAGTGTCCAAGGCCAGGTTGGACAGGGCTTGGAGCAGCCTGGGATGGTGGAAGATGTCCCTGCCCGTGGCAGGGGGCAGAATTATGTGATCTTTAGGGTCCCTTCCAATCCAAAGCAGCCTGGAATTCTCTGATAAAGATGCCAGACACACAAGTAACATGAGCCACTGGGGGGGAGCACAACCAGGCCAGTCCTCAGTGGCCAAAACCTGCTTCATTCTTCACACCCACAGGGAAAAATGACATTCCAGGAGCCCTTTGCTGTACAGACATGGCCATACCTGGAAAAGCTGGCGCTGCAGGAGGCACCTCTGCCCCCTCCACGGGGATGCCCAGGGTCTGCAGGGTGTACTCTGCCGCGTAGGTCTTGGCCTCGTCGATGTAGGCGCTGAGCTTGGGCGGTGTGAAAGGGTGTCTGCGGGGACAGCACAAACTTAGCTGGGCTTGCATTCCCCCAGGGCTCTCCTGAGAGATGCTGTGATGCCCTCAGAGCTGGCACCACCCCACAGAGCAAATGGAAGCACGGCTTCCCCGTGCTGGTGCATTAGCAGAGCTGCTCTCCTCCGAGCGCTCCGGTCCCTCGCTGAGGTTATCGACCCTGCTCTCATGCCGGACACAACGTCCTTGCAGAGTTTGTTGTGCTTTTTCCATTAAAAAAAAAAAACCAAACCAAACAAAGAAAACCCCCCAAAAAACTCAAAAAACCCTGCTGCATTTTTTCTTTACAATACCCAGTCTGGGTTTTTCTTTACAATACACAGCAAACTGTGATTTAGGTCAGAAATGTTTAGAATCATATTTGGAGCTGAAATATCAGCACGACTCCTTTCATTTCCCCACAAGAGCTATCGTTTGCTTTCTTTTTGTACAAAAAAAAGCACCTTTTTGCCTGATTATGTCTGGCTTTCTGTAATGTTTGCACCAGCAGAGAGAGCACCAAGCATGGCAGACAGCAGTTAATTATACTTTCTGGATGTTTTTCTCCTTGTGTTTTTTTAAAGTATTTTTATATATAATTATATAAGCATATATGACACATAAATATACATCTAATAAATATTCTAAAATGTATTTAACAAATATTTTTTAAAATAAAAGGAAACGGAGACCTGTGTGCTTGGGACTTTGAGGACAGCTGTTAGGTGAAATATAATTTAAAAAATAAAGCCTGAGCCTCAGAAACCTTCCACTAATGACGTACATGGTGGGGTTCTGGCTGGCAAGGGCAGGGATGGTGATTTTGTAGAGGAAGAGCTGTCTTTGATCCTGGCCAATGGCAGAGTGGAGCTGGTACACAGGCTGTCCCCAGTTGTTTTTCTGGCAGATTTCTTCTAAGATCTAGAAGGAAAAAAAAAAAAACCAACCTGCATTTTTGCTGGGGTTAATTACTGTGCAGAAGCCTCCTCGCCTAGCTCCAGCCCTTGTGCTGAGCAGCTGCCTTCCCTCAAAGGGTTTTCTGGGAGTCCTAAGCTTCCTCAAATCTTAGCAAAAAACACAAAATAAACAGCAGACAGAATACTGCACTCACCTTGAAGTGTAAGAGTCATCTAAATGCTTTATACTTTAAGATCTGTTTAATTCCTGAAATTATTCCCTGTTCAGTTGGGCATCTGATCCTTTTGCTGGTTAGATTATTTCAGTGTGGTTTTCTTTGAATTCTCCTCAGAAGCTCTGTCTCACTTCTGTTTCAGAGGACTAAAGAAACTCGGGTTGCATTCATCTTCACTGCTCTGCTGCCTCCCTGGTTTAGCGGGTTACAGAGCACGAGAAGTCCAAATAGGCTTCTTTTTTTAAAAAAAAATAAAAAATGTTTCCATCCAATTAATTCCACGGGCTTCAGCAGGCAAGTGCAGCTTTTGAAATGCTGAACCACGTTGCCCTCTGCCTTGCCACAGCTGGTCCCCTGGTAATTGGGAACTGCTGTCCAGAAACACTCCTGCTTTGGCTTGGGATTTGAGGGTTTATAACCCTCTGGCTGTGTGCTGTCCCAGCTGGCTTTGGTCACCTTCCATTAAACCAAGTTGCTCTGACCTGGCCTTGAGCATTTCCAGGGATGGAGCAGCCACAGATTCTCTGAAAAATCTGTGCCAGAGCTTCACCCCTATCACAGCCGAGAATTTCCTCCCTATATCCCATCTATTCCTGCCCCCTGGCAGTGGAAAGCCATTCCCTGTCACTCCAGGCCCTTGTAAAGTCTTTCTCCATCTTTCTTGCAGCTCCTTCAGGCACTGGAAGGCCACAATTAGGTCACTCTGAGGTCTCGCTGTGGTTACCTCATTTACAGCTTACATTTGAATGGATGTAAAACTAAAAGATAAAATTTAAACCCCACTGCTGCTTTTAATTTTGTCACCACAGCTCCAGCTGAAGTTTAGTGTCTTCCAGTGTAAAATGCTTCATTACATAGTTCAAGTTTCAATTGCAATAGTTCATTTTTTCACTGTGGCAATTCTTATTCCCTGCTGTCCCGACGCCTTTATATGTCGGTTTTATAAAAATGAATTTCACCTGCCCTAAGGCCCTGCAGAACCATTCCAGGGATTTCACACCTCTAGTGGAAGGTGCCCCTGTGCATGGCATGAGTTGGTAGTAGCTGAGCTTTAAGGTCCCTTCCAACCCAAACCATTCTCTGATTCTGTGATTTGCTGACAAAATAGAGTAAGAGGACTTTTTCAGGAGGGAAAAAATCCCACCGGCCATTTTTCTGGGAGAAAACAAGGATGTTTTCATAAAATTTGGCAAACTGGAGGCTGTGGTAATGGAAGTGTTAAAAGGCAAAGACATGCTGCAAAATTCAGGGTGAAGTTGGTTTCTTGTGTTGCTCTGCCCAATATAAGAGGAAAACAGTTCCTGTCAGAGCTGGACATTCAGAAACTCAGGGAATTTATTCTGGATTTCTCCTCAGCCCTCACCCATCCATCTGCATCAAAACGTACAAAAAACCAAAAAAATCCAAATCAAAAGCCCCCCTGGGCCGGCAGAGTTTCTGTGCTAGGCTGGGTTATGTCAATACTTCTTTTACCATGAATGATTTGAAAATGCACTTTATTTTTCTATACATGTGCACTGCTCCCCGGTTGTGGGAAATGGATTTGTAGGGAGTTCTTAGGGCCTGACAGAAGGCTCACACAGTATGCATCTGTATGCAAACTTGGAGATAAGAAATGCTGACTTAGAAATGCCATGGAATAGGACAGATATTGTTGAGAGAAACGGAGCTAGGAAGAATTTTCAAAGGACGGCCTTGCAAATAACACTAGATACTTTGGAGAACTAGAACTATGAAAGATGCATTGTAGTAGAACCCATGAGGGGTGATTTTAGATGATTGGCTTCAAGGCATTTTACAACATGATGTGACAAATGCTGATAGGTCAAGAAACGCTTATAATGCATTGTAATTAGGAAATAGTTGGCTTCTGATTGTGATGGTGTGAATTATAACATCTGTATTGTCTCACCCTTCATATGAGACTGAAAATGGAATAGAAGTTTTTTAAAAAGCCTCTCAGTTGCCCCATTTCTGGGTCAGAAAAGGGCAAAACCCGACAAATTGGTGCCCCGTAATGTAAAGCAAATAACACAACAAATAACTGTCCAACTTATCAAAAAGTCCAAAAATAATTTTTAAAGTCCCACTATTTGATATACACTTGATATACATTTAAAAATAATAATTTTTAAAGTACCGCTATTTGATGATACATTTGATATACATTTTAAAATAATAATTTTTAAAGTCCCACTATTTGATGATACATAAATCATCCCTGGTGAAGCCCCAGGTGATGCATTTTATGTACCAAACCCACCGTGGGTGGGAATTCCTTGACCCGCGGTGCTTTTATGGCGCAACAGCCAGACCCTGACACTCACAATGATCTTAAAAATCTTCTCCAACCCCAACCATTCCATGATTGCATGACAGTGGGCAAGGCAGGCGGATTTGCAAGATGCAGCTGCTCATTTCTCAGTGTTTTTTGGGACACGGGAATGGATTTATTTACACAGACTGGACGAGGGGCCTGCTTTCCCAGCACAACCCTTGGGATATGGACGCTCTCCTTGGGGCACGTACCTGGGGGGCGAGTTTGATCCCTTGGGGCTTTAGGGTGATGTGGTTCATGGGGGTGAGCTCCATCCCTGGCAGGAGGTCGTAGAGCTTTTCCTCTCCCCTCTTGTCTCCCTTGAGGTGGTATCCACGCCCCAGGCCCGGGAACGCCAGGTAGCCGCGGCCTCCCAGGCCTCGGACGCCCGCAGCCCCTACAGGTACATTCATGTAAATTTCTAGGAATGTAAGAAGGCATTAAACCGAATCAAATCACGGGAAGAAGGACCCTGATTCTTGCTGAAATGGAAAAGTTAGCCCCGTTTGCTGGGAGAGTTGGGAAGCAGGCGGGCAGGAAGTCCCACAGCCTGCTGGTGTGATAGCACAGGCTCAACACGGACACCCTTTCTTGGATAGCTGAGGGGTTTTGGGGAAAAACTGCTTCTTTCTGCCCATTTTTTCCATCTTCTCTGGTCAGTTTTGATTTCAGGACAGCTTTTTACCCAGCTTTGTAGCTGGAGGGCAGAGCGGGAGCAGCTGGCATCTTTTGTTACCCACCAGCGTAATTTCACCTTGAAGAATTCACAACTTACACAATTTCATCCCTCTATGAACAAAAATCCTTTTTGTTTTGTCCCATTGCACTTCCATTTTTTTTCTCAGGGAACCCTGCTTGGGAGTCTGGGGAGACCACGAGGCAAGTTATCACATCTGCTCCTTTCCCAGTGCAACCCTCAGAGGAGCTGGTTCACCTGTGTGGGGAAGAACTTGAGGAACAAGGGGTATTCCTGCTGCCCTGTCTCCTTCCCGGTAAAGGGACAAAAATTGGCCATTGTGATCCTTGCCAGGCCTACCAGGGTGCCACACAGGGTCCCAGCCTGCTGTGGGACTCGGCTTGGAGACACAAGGCATCATCTTCGGAAGGAAGATCATATGACAGAGTTATTTCTTTGCTAGCCCCAAACTTTTGTCCCAGCTGACCATACGATGTCTGTATTGACATTTAATTTGGGGGTACCTAAGTGTGGGGATTTCGTTTGGATCATCCAAGAGTTTTCAGAAATACTCTCCTTTATCCATAGATTGAATTGATTGAACTAATTATTATTAAGTTAACAATCCCCCAAAAGGGGGCCTCCACCTCCCAGAGCACAGAATGGCTTGTTTGATTCCCTACCCTGCACCAGGGCAATGTGACTTCGTGGAAGAACTCCGTGGCTTTGGGTCAGAAAACACCCAGGACTGCTAAAATTTACAGGACTGGTAAAATTTTCCCAGCAACTTTCAAAGCAAAGAGGAAACATAGCAGTGGTGGTGGCTGGGAAAGGAAAAGTGTTTTATCTGGTCTTCCTTGCTGGAGCAAAACCAGGAGGATTCATGGATTATTTGCCCTGGACCGAGGGCAATCTAGAAGTCTCTTCCAGGAAAGCAGTTATGTTTTTCATCTGGAAGATGCCTTTGGGAATGACAGAGCCTAAACGCTGTGTTTTCCATCCCTTTCTGAGCGGGATTGGCAAAGCCAACTCCACGGGCACGCGTGCGGGGAGCAGCTGCCCCATGCCCGGAGGAGAGGAATTACCTCGGACGGAGGGCGGCCGGAGGATGCTCCTGCTGCCGAGCCCCTTGGCAGCCGGGAAGTGCAGGTTGGGAATGGCCGCGTAGGCCTGGGGTGCGTAGAAGACCGGGGCGCCCAGGTAGGCGGCGGCGGGGTCGTACAGGTGGCCCAGCGTGTAGGTGTAGTCGCCCTGCAGCACCGGCGCCCTGCCGCCCGTGCCACGCGTGTACCTCACGTAGCTGTCCTTGTCCACCGGCTTGGCCAGCGTCACCTCGATGGGGGACCCGTCCAGAACCTTCATGGTGGGGAGAGAGCAGGAACAAGCACGGGGGGGAATGGGCCAAAGTGCCTCCACCTATGGAGGAACGGCCCCACCTCCTAACAGGATGGGAAGGTAGAGGAAAACACCCCAAAAAAGGCCTGGACCTCCCTCACACGGGGCTGGCTGGGTGAAGGCTTAACCTGAGAGCACCCAAAGCCTTTGAAAGGCCTCGCTTCCCTGCAAAGCAGCTGGCGAGATTCCGTGTGCTCCCGTGGAGAACAGCAGTGGAGCTAAAAATAGGAGCGGGGTTAACACCTCTTTGGGAACAGCTCCGGCTTTGCAGTGAATTACATGCAGTGCAAGAAGGGCTAAATTCAGCAGCCTCCTGGCAAATCCGCATCTGAATTTGGAGCAGATGTTTGGGCTGACCTCGTTTGTCCCAGTTTGCCATTCACACGCTGCCCTGCCAGTGTTTTTGTTGGCAGTCTGGAACAAGGATGTGAGTGTGAGCCAGGGGGGATCGTAACCCCTCCTTTCCTAGTTCTTCTTTCAGCTTTTCCTGTTTGTTTTTTTTTTTTTAATTTTTTTTTCATCTGAGCAGTGAGCTAGAGCCGGGCAAACACAGCACAAACACAAGGAGCCAAAATGAATCGTTTGTGTACAACAGAGCTGCTGAAAAACAAATTCAGGACTATAAAAGCAACCAGCAAAGAGAAAATTGGGATAACACCTCCAGGAGGGTTTTGGAGCTAATAAAGCAGGTGGCTTTGTATAATATTCTGCACCCTAAGCCCCACGAATTAACATTTACAGCAGCTTTACCTTCCCATTCAAGGCTTTCATGGCCTCCACTGCGTGTTCTCTTTTATTAAAGTGCACAAAAGCATAGTCTCTAATTTTCTTTACTCTCTCCACTGCACCTGTGGAAAACATTGGAATATAAGTGGGAAGTGGGGATTAGTTAGAAAACAGAGATCTGAAAGAGTGGTTCTGTCAATTATGAGCCCCTGGAGAGCAAAGGCTGAGCAAGGGTAGAAGAACAAGAGGTCAGTGTCCCCTCACCTCTTTGGGTGCATATTCCACAGGAAAATCGATACATAATGATTGTAGCATTTTAAGGCAAACTAGAAGGTTTGGGGATCAGACACCAGTAAGACTCCCATTCAACTGGAGCAGTTTTCTCCTGTCCAAACCATTTTGTTGGACATTACCTTTGGTCTTGTGCCTCCCTCCTGTGACAGACCTTGCACCATGCCCATGTGATCCCCATCTCCCTGCTTTTGTACGTGCATTGGAGGCAGTTTCAGCAAAGTTGGTGCCTTTGCCATAAAACAAAGAGGTTTTTCTCCTTGACAACCAGCCCAGGATGTTCAGGAAGAATGAGCAGCCAGCCCTGCCCAGGACAGAGAAGCCCGGGGCACTGGGATGAGCTGGGACTGATGGGGCAGCTGATCTCTCCCAAAAAACAGCCTCTCCCTAGGAAACAGCCTTTCCCGTGGCAGTGGGGCTTCCCTGGATGCCCCAATTCACCTGGACACGGCCCCAGTCAGGCTCTGCAGCTGAGAGTTGGCCCTCTTGGGATTAGGCTTGGGCTGGAGAATCTTTCTTCCAGCCTGAATCTTTCCTACATTCAATTTATCCGAAGTAATTCAAATGTAAATGACTTCTTGTTCTTCTTTTCTAAGTCCATCCCCCACAATTTTCCCTTTCCCTTGTCAGCTGCTCTGCTGCCAGGCACTCATACTCTGCACTGAGGAGTCTGTCTCCAAAATAACCCCACCAGTCCCGTTCCCCACGGCCATTTCTTTAATACCTCATCTTCTCTGCTCCTGTGGCTTGGAAAGCACATCAGCCAGACTGGCCTCCTGTAAAACCCCCAAAATATCCTTTGGAAACATGGCTAAGGAATGCTGAGCAACTCTTCTGTTAGCTTCTTACCTCCTAAAGCTGAACAGGTGCACAGGGAAATATCGTATTGCCACAAAAAGCACTTAGAAAAATTCAGGAGGAAACAAATTTCTTTGGTGTTCAGGGGGAGTCATTAGGAGCTGCAGAGGGCTAAATGAGCCTGTCCCAGCCTACAGCCCAAGCAGGCTGCACATCTTGGAATGAACACAGGGATGGTAAAGTAGCACTTTGTGTCCTTCTGGGATTTATTGTAGTTACATGCTTATGCTTTGTTTTTTTGCAAGTGGAAGCTTTAATGAACTCGCTGTGTTTTGAATATCCCCCTTCTGCCTCCCAGAGAAAATTCCAGGACACCAATCCTGAGTCAAAAATTCTGCTCTTCCCTGCTTCTGCCTCTGCTGGGCCAAGCAATGTGATACCCACCCCTGGGTCAGCTCCATGGAGAGCTCATCCATGGGACATTAAAGAGGGAGCATTGTCCCTCCAGCACATTGGGACAGCACAATCTTCCTGCTGGAAACTCTACCAGGCAGGAGGAATTTCGCTGGGATTCCTAAGGAGCAAGGGCAGGGCTTTTCAGAGAGACAGCTTTACAGAAGTCACCAGGCCGTGAATTTGGCACAGATTTAAAGGGTACTACTTGTATTATATCCCAACTTGAGGAGCACAAGCAGCATTCCTGGTCCTGTCTGTGGAGCCCTCAGAGATGTGGCAATTGCTGTGTCATGGGGACCTCTGGATCATTTTTTATTGGATGACTTGTTGATGTCAAAACAGCTTCTTAATGCCCTGGATCCAAGGTAATTTCAGCTAAGAAGTGCTGAAATGTGGCTCAATGAGTGAGGCAGCAGGGCAATGAATCATTTCAGATCTTTGCTGCCTTTTTTGATCTCACTATAACTTAAACTGCATTTTCTCTCCCCAAAGCTGGAAGTTTTGCTGCTCTAATGCATCCACTCCTGATTTTAGCCACCAAAATAAAAGCTGTCTATTAAAAAAAAAAATCCAACATGAACGCTGAAATGATAAAAGGAAAATGAAAGATGGTGCAGAACTTCTGTTGTTATAGTGGAAAACTTCTTAGGAGCAAAGCAGATGACTGTTACCAAAGTGTCAAAAGGCCACAAATGTGTTTCTGGGGAGTGTGAGCTTGTTCAAAGCTCGGGAGCAAAACTGGGTAAATAAAAGAAAGAAACAGTTCAGAGAGCTGGAAAACATAAATTTAACTCAGGGGTAAAATGGGGTCTGCAAAAGCTTGATGGTGGCTAAAAGTATGAGCCAGAAATGCTGGAAGGACACAAGGAAAACTCATGAAGACCTTTGCACTGCAGCCTAGTCCAGAAAAAGGCATGCACAGAGCAGAAATGAGAAGTTAGAGGAAGAAAAATGAAGCTCTGAAGCGTATTTTAAAAAATTTATAGAAGGAAGCTAACAGGAGCGAGATGAAAGGAGATTTCACTTTGCCAAGCATCAGCTCCTAATGCCTAATGGACTGTGTGGCTTGCAGAGCTGCAGAAATGGGTTATTTTTACTTTGTTGGTTTTGGGTGGAATTTCCTAAAGCTGGAGCAACTCAGAAGTAAAATCTCCTTTGAAAGCCAGCAGGATTTTTATTCCCAACTAATCTCCCTGCTTTTCTTGAAAAATCTCACCCTAAGTGCATGTAAGATACGCCACAAAGGAATATTGAATTAAATGGAAAGCACTAATTATTCACCAATTTACACCAGGACTGGGGGGGATGTATGAAAATGAGTTCAGCATTTAGATAGATCAGATAAAAAGGAATTGTATTAAAACACTCTATTTTTAGCACCATCCCCTGCCACAGAAGAATGCTGAAGTCACCCAGCTGCTGCACCAACTCTTTTTAAGAAAGTCTAAATGATTCCAAAACCTTTTGATGACACAGGGCATCCCCATGCAGCATTTTGGGTCTCTTCCAGATGCCAATCATCCTCCTTCGTGGTGGCTGTAGCTGGGAATTAAGCAGCCCTTAATGGGATGGCATTTTGGGTGGGAGCCTTCGGCCTCATGACAATTATTGTGGTATTTCACATGAACGTTTCAACAGCAGAAAACCAACTATTTTTATCTCTCGTGGCATTTTAGGAACGCAGAAATATTTCCATTTGCAGCACTTGTTTAGGAGGCACTGCACCAGCGGGTTCCTACCTGGTTTGATGCTGTTGAACTCCTTCTCTATGGTCTCCTCGGTGGTGGAGAGCATGAGGTTCCTCACGTAGAGGATTTTCACTGAGGACATGGTGTCCTCATCCACCTCCACCTCTGGCTCTGCCCAGTCCACGGCGATGGGGTGTCCCCACAGCTGGATCCTTCCTTTAAGGGAACGGGCATGGTCAGTGCTGGGGGGCTTTTGCCTCCTCTCACTTCTGCTCACGCTCTATTTCACAACAGAGCAGGCCAAATTCTACAGACACGACCAAAAAAAAAAGCTTAAAAGCCTCCCTAGCTCAAAGCACCGCTGCTGCATCAGCTCCCTCCCAAAAGCAGATGGTCACACTCAGAATGGCCCCTTGCAAATACCTTTGGAGCCTCCACAGCTGAGAGAAGTGAAAATATGGAATAATTCACTTGAAGCTTGCATTTCCTGGAGTGCTCCCTAAAGGAAAGTATTTTAATGCACTTACAAAAATCCCTTTTGGCTGGCAAAGTTTCATTCCCTCAATACCAGAGCAGGGATTCTGAAGTCCCAACGGAATGGGATGAAACAGTAAAAACAAGGAAATCTCTGTGTGTGTGTTTGATTTCATTTGGGTGAAGCTGCAGCAGAAGAAAGGAGGGACACAAAAATCCCAATGCATAAAACAGGGTGTGGATGTGGAGGACAAACCCAGGGGCTCTGTGTACACTGGACTGAGCTGCTGAGGGTCAGGGAAGAAAAAGAGCAAATAAATCACATTGCTGAATGCTGACGATGCAGTTGGGTTGGTGTCCCCACTCCTCGAGGCTCAGCTCCAGATTCAAAGGCACCTGATGGTGAGACTTTCACTGAACTCGAGGGGAATGTTCAGAAGTCCGTATTTCTTTCTGTCTGCATGCATGTGTATTACTAAGGTTGTCATTTTAGATTTGTCATTAAATTTTGGTTGTCAGATTCATTGTTCTGTTGCTCTTATAGAAAATTCTATTGACTTGTTCTTGAGGTGTTAAATCGCTCAATTTATCAATAACTGCTAGTGTTGATTAGATAATATTATTAATAATAACCTATTATTATATATTGTTATGAATAATAAACCGTTTAGACCTAAATTGTTGAGCCAGGCTGAGATTGGCAAAGGGGGTTATTCTGCCAGGACTCAACCCTTGGAATCCTTTACTTTTTCCCTCCTCACCCTTTTGCCTCCCTGGTCTCCACATGAATCATTCTAGGTTGCTTTAATCTGACATTTCTTTGCCTGCTTTATCTGTACAGCAAGTAATAGAGTCACCCTTGCCATCAAACCGTGTTGTGCCTTCACAAATTTATATTAAACCTTCTTTTGCCCAGACCTTGCTGGTGATTCTTTAAGTGACCTAAACCACACATTTGAAACTGAGGGGACAAAGAAAATCCTGCAAAACACTCTTTGCCAGATCTAAAAAGGCATCTCTGTTTGGCCAACCCATTGAAGAAGGGGTGGGAGCTCCAAAATGAGAGGGTGAGGATAGAATCCGAAGTGTAAATGATCAAACTAAATGGAAAGGTGCTGTTGCCTTGGAATCCCTTGTGAACGAGCTGGGATTTGTGGAGCTGCTCTTCAGCTTTCAGCACTGCACACATCTGAGCTGCCAGTGACCAGGGATAAAGACAGGGCTGCTCATGGTTCTGTGCCCCTTTCTGAATTGCTGTTTTCAGTTCAAGGGTGGAAATAATGAACTGGTTCCCTTGAAGCAAGGAGCTAAGCTTGGTGCCTCTTGCTGAAAACCAGTCTATCTCTACCCTCTTGTTTTGCCAGAGACAGGTCAACATCTTAATTTTTTTGTAAAAACTCTTCATTTTTGAGCACTTTCTCTACAGAGGTCCCTCAAAGAGAAACGAGGCTCAGTTTAAAGGAAGCATCTGATAATGATATTCAATCTCACATCAGCTGGAGACACATTCAGCTGTGGCTTGAAACTTTTTTCCAGTTCCTGCCGTATGCTTGAAATTTCAGAAGACTCTGGCTCCTGCTCAGGCCTTTGGAATTCCCTAAATTGTTTACTGAGATGTCCCTAAACTGGAAATCCCTCATGCATTGCACATGTCTGCTCAGGGCTCTGAGTTCCTTCCATCCATCTTGCTGTCTTTGCTCAGGATTTCAAGCGCTCTGTTTGCTCCTGCCTTCCTTTTCCACATAAAAACTATGGGAAAGTCGTGCTGAAGCACAGAGTGTGCTCCCACCATCAGGGAGATGCTTAAACTGAAGAAAAAAATGCAGACTAAAAGGAAAAATTGTCAGTGTTGACATATCTCCCAATAGAAAAGCAAATTCATTGCTTAAAATCAGGCTCATTTTTTACACAATAAGAAAAAAAAAGAATTTAAGTGACACAAGGTATCTCACGTATAAAACAGGTGAAAGAAGACTGGTGGTTATGAATAAATCTTAAATCCCAATGTTTGTTGGATGCTTTCACTAGCCAGTGAACTGTGTTCAACAAAGCAGTGCAGGAGCATAAGAAAGCAAGAGAAAATTGGTGAAATCCCTGCAAATTCACTTAATGCTAAGTGAGTTCTTCACCTAATACCTGCTAAACCTCTCTCTCCTTCACAATGGTGTTTGGCTGTCTCCCAGTGCTGAATTTCATAGATTTACTCTAAAGCAATTCCTCATTCCAAGTTTTTTTGCCAAAATATCGATTTTCAGTCCATGCTCCAGCCTGAATCTGCTCTGGGATGCTTTCCTGAGTGATTCTCCCTGAGAGGCCATAAATGACTCTCTATTTTATGTTTAACCCAAGACAAGCACAGGACCAAGCAGAGCTACGTGGATGCACACAGCTAAATCCATCTGGCTGGATTTTTAATAAACCCAGGCTCTTGAAGGATGACCACAGATCATCAGCAGGCAGGAGCTGCAGTGAATCCCACACCCCGTGGTGTGCTGGGGGACCTCAAGGCTCTGGGTGTCTCCAGCAGAAAACTGCTGCCTGAGGGCAGAAAACCCAGTTCACTTCCTCGGATTCCTGGGTCCCCTGGCGATGTCACCACATGGTGACCCCTCCCCATCCCTGCTCACCTGGGAGCAGCTTCCTCCTGGCCATGGCTGCTGCTCGGTGGCTCTCGTACTCCACGAAAGCAAAGCCCCTGTTTTTGGTTTTGTCGGCTGCACTGGGGTAGACGATGACATCCACGACGCCATCCGTGACCTTCTTCATCTCTGCCAGGATTTCCTCCCTCTTCTTGGTTTTGGGGATGCCCCCCACGAACAGGCGGCAGTTGTCCACGCTGGCACAGACCCCCAGGAGTCTCCCGTTCCTGAAACAGCAGAGTCAAAAATGCAGTCTGTCAGTCAGCAGTCAGGAGCCAAGAGAGGGGAAGGTTAAAGCAAAGCCCATCTTCTGTCCCAAAACACAAGGCCAAACACAAGGCTTTGGTGTCAGCTGTTCTTTGGGATATTCCAGTGGCATTGCTCAGTGCAAAAGCTGCCACTCTGCTAAATCTGACATCAAAGTCAGGCAGCACAGCTGAAATGAAGGATTTGAGAGAGAAAACAAAGCCAAATGTTGCTTTTCCTACTTGAGATTCCCCCTTTTCCTGCCAGCAGGCAGCTGCACTCCCCAGCCCAGGTCCCTGTGTTGTCACCAGTGGCTTGTGGCTTCCCACTCACTTCACGACTGAGGTTTTGGGGGAAGAAAATCCCTTGTCATGGAGTGGCACCATTTGAGGACTCACCAATCCCAACTTCCGTGCAGATCCCAAAATAAAAACTTTCTTTGTTCACCTCTTTGGGGTCAAAGTATCTCTTACAGGCCTGGAGACGGGCAAAACTTCTTTAGAGGAGTCTTTGGAACCAGGGAAGGAAGTGGAGGAGGATGAAGCCTGATCCCTAAGACCTTCCAACCTCTGCTGCAAATGACAACTCCAAGGCCTCTGCGTGCCTTGATGTGCTCAAAGTCGTTCACAACCTTTTTTTTTTTTTTTTTTTAATTCAAAAAGTCATACAGCTGCCAGCGTGGTTTATCCCAAAAGGTTTTTAAGCAAAGGCATCAACCCATCCCACTTTGAACTGGCAAAAAACATTTAGTGTGGTTGAAATCCAACCAACACGTATTGATGGGCCCATCTGTTGTTGATTTCTGGGTGTTTTGTTCCCAATTTTTAGTCACAAACACAAGAGTTTTTTCTGTTCCTTTCTATTAGGAGATGCCACTGTTGTGCCAATTGATTTCCATTCTATTTCACCATTTTTTTGCAATTGCTCCATCTCCCAGAACAGATCTGCACAATCTGTCATGAGGGAGACTGAATAGAATAAATCAACAACAAACAACCTGAGGGGAACACAATAAACAGCGCTGGTTAGGGGAAAGTTAATTTAATCCAAAGCACAACATTTTTTCCTAATGTTCTGATAGAATTTTTTTTTTATTATTATTATGATTATTATTTTGGTTTTTTTTTTGGTGAGAAAGAAATTTCCTGTGAAAGATATTGGCTTTAATGAGCAGTGACTGCACAGTGACACAGGAGAAGATTTCCCTTCAAAACACAGGGATCTAAATAACCTTGCTCTGGGCTGCCAGGAAAAATATCCCTCACATGCCAAAACAGACCGATAGATATGATTTAAAGTTGCTTTGAAGATGTTTGTCACGCTTACCTGATTTCATAATTATTGAGTGTCTTTATTGCATTCTTGGCCTCCTGTTTATTGGAGAAGGTCACAAAGGCATAGCCCCTGTTGTTGCCATTGAAGTCCATCATCATCCTCATCTCATAGATTTTGCCAATCTGCCAAATGAGAGAGATTTGTCAGCAAGGTGGGAGTGGTTAAAAACGACTGGAATTTTAAAGCCCACCCAGTTCCAGTTCCATGGGCAGGGACACCTTCCATTGACCAGACTGCTCCAAGTCCTGCCCAGCCAGGCCTTGGAATCAGCCCTGAAATGCAGCTCTGACCATCAGTAACTGATCTGCTGCCATCAGGCCTCACCTTTTCACAGAGGGGGATAAGTTCATCCTCAAAGAGGTCTCGGGGCAGTTTCCCAATGAAGATCTCACAGCCCCTCTCTGGTGGAGGGCCATCCCAGCCCGGTGGTGGTCCCCCATATTTCCTCTGCCCATTTTCCTGCCGTGGAGGAAAAGAAAAGAAAGGTTCAGCTATCGATTTTTAAATGTGGATCAAACCAAGCCCATCTCTGGGAATGACCCTTGAGGCAGACACCCTCCTTCCCTTCAGCTCCTCACAGATTCAGCAGGGACAATGCAGTGTCCTGCTGCCAAGGCTGGGATGCTTCCAAAGTCCGAGTGCAGACAGTCAGGTAACCCCCTGGAAAATGGAAATCCTCTTGGCTCTGGTAGGGGAATCTCCATGGGCTGTGTGTTAGTTGTGGGCTGGGTAATGGAACACTTGCAAAATCTATAATTTGTCTTGATTTTCATCCAGTCTGAGGATGTCACCTGTCCACCCAGGAGGTCCTTCTGGCAGACAGAAAATCTTGGCCCCAAATAATATTCCAAGATGTGATGGCCAGTCAGTATTTCCTTTTTGGTCTCTTTTTGCTAGATGAGTGTGTCTCTGTTCTCCTCTCCTATTTTTAATCATATCTCCTTCCTTCCTTCCTTCCTTCCTTCCTTCCTTCCTTCCTTCCTTCCTTCCTTCCTTCCTTCCTTCCTTCCTTCC